TGGTTTTTTTTTTTAAACATGATTTTAAATTTCGCATTATTTTTATTTACTTACCTAGTGACAATTTTCAACTTCATCTTCAAGTTCAAAACACTATTATTCAATAAATTCAGCAGGCTATAACTACAGATCTACAACCTATTATAATGAAAGACTTCAATATAGAAAACAACAATCTACACTTAACTTTAATTAAATACAAACTACTTTAGTGCTTTCAATATAACAATATGTATGATCTGTTAGCTTATACACAAATCTCAACCTATACCTGACAAAGTAACTATCATAAAAGCTGTATTAACTATATATAGGCTAATCATTCAATCCTTAGATATTTAACTTTATTTCATATTAATGACTCTAAAACTAGTACTGAAAGTGATCACCAAATCTTAGTCTCTTAATAGTTATTTCTATATGCTTTATAAGCAAAAACAGATAGCTATTTGAACTTATAAAAGACTATTTCTCTATAAAAATATGAGTCAAGAACAATGATAATTATATACAGACCAAATTACTCTAAACCTTAGAAATAATAATACACCACTTAATAAAAATACAACAGATACACTAGAGGCCAGAGATGTATATTTTGACTGTCCAAAGGCTTTTTTGGTACTGTCTAATGTCCAAATGTCCAAGTATCCAAAAGTGTCCAGAGTATATTTAAGCTTTAATAATTAATAAATTTGTTTAAAATATATATAACTATCTATTTTTTTAAATGCTAAACATATTTTACTTAGAAGGTAATATAGATTATCTTAATAAAATTTTGAGTAATTTTAATTTATTTAATTGTCCAAAATTGTTCAAAGTATTTAAACTCACTATTCACAACTGTTCCGTAACAATACTGGTAGTCGTATTATTAGTAATAGTTGTATTTTTAGTAGTAGTCATTAAAGAATCAGAAGTTTTTATATTAGCCACTTAGTCAGCAGTTTTCCTTTTTTTAGTAAAGAGTTTGACTCTAATGAAACATTTAATTTGTTGCTTGTGCTGAGGTGGTTGATTGTAATAACGTAGTTAAGGTGTTTGAAGTTGTTGATTTTGGCTGCAACAAAGTTTGAGATGAATTGGTTAATATTTCATTGTTACTCGTTGCATGTTGTTTGGCCAATAATCGTTTGGATTGGCACAAAGCACTAAAATTAAAGAATATATGTGTATAATTAGTTTTTTTGCTTTTTCCTCTCATAGTGAGTTAGTGTTAATTGACAAAAGCAATAAAATAAGATCCTTTCATTTTATATTATTCTAAAATCAATCATTATGTATATTGCTTATTAGTCACGTCAACTATCTAAGTTAAAATATATATATGCAAACTAATTTGAAAATACTTATCATCTTACATTATGCGACATGATTACATTATTAGATTTTGAAATTCTGATCTGAAATTTTGTAGAAAAATTTGTTAATAATTACATAACATGATAGAAAAGGCATCAATAGATGACAAGAAAATTTACTAACAAATGATGAAGAAAATGTAAGAACTTTGATTTTCTGATTCTAAGAATTTTGTAGAATAATTTGTTAAATAATAGAAGTTACAATTCATAACTTATTTGTAAATACATTATATATATCAGATCATGCTTATTCAAAATATTTGAATAGCCAATTGATTTAGTTGACTTACAACTCATACGTCTTATAAATCTTCCTTAGATAACTGATATGATGGCCTTTCAGATTAATCAATAGAGATCTTTAACAATTAATCAATAAATGAATCATTTAGTCATTTAGCTTATACTGTGAATAAAGTTGATTTTTTACCCAGAGAGATAGGCAAAAAAATTCAATAGCACAATTATAGTATTATACTCTAATCAAAACAAAGAAAGAATTAAATATTTATTTAATATATTCAAAAATGTATATATATATTTTTTTTTTATAGTCAAGGTTAGCCTCTTTGGCTCACTGCTTTTATTAGATACTAGGATCATGTAGTGCCCTTTTCAAGGAGGCCCCAGACAAATGCATTTTGATGAGAATATATACTAGCCATACCTGCACTTTTTGAACGCTTAATTAAGTATTTACCTATTACTAGATTCTATACTAGATGTCATACTTGTAACCCACTATTACTTGAGCTACCCAATTAAACTCTCTGATCCGAGTTTCCTATGCCAATCCATCTAACCTCACCCAAAATAGCGATACATTAGTTAGTCCAAGTTCTGAGATCATCGCAAGTTCACTTTTAGGACTACTGGTATTAACTGATTCATCTTCAAGTATATCATCTGCTAGAGCCATCTGTCACCTACTTTTAACATATAATCTAATCTTTTTTCAGATAGATATTATCGGATAGGTTCTATATCTTTTACAGACAGGCTACACTACCAATCTTTATTGCAGATAGGTAGCCAGATAGGTTCTAAACCTTTATAGGCAGGCTACACTGCCTAACTACCTGGCCCTTGCAAAGTTCACTCAAGCCTCAGTACCTTTCTTTCAAAACAACCCAGTACCTTTCCTTTCAGTATCTTCTAGCTGGTCTCACCAGACTACCAATCCAGATGGCCTGGAAAGGACACTAGTCTTTTCTTCAATTGATTTGGTGGTCTAGTTGGTGAAGTAACTTGCTAATACTCTTGCCTCGTTCAGTTTTCCAGCCTTGGGTAGAGCTTATTTCAGTAAGCACTATCAAGAGCTTGTGCTACTTCTCTACTCAGATCTTGCCAAGCAGGCTTCCCATAGCGTCATTCATCAGATTAATATGACCTGAAGGACTTATTATGAGTTTATACCACCTTACTAGTTTGTATTCTCTTTGTGCAACTCATACATTACACAAATGCCTCAGATCTTCCTTAGATCAACCTAATAGTGCAATAGATATTCTTCCTATATAAGGTATAACTGATGTTATATAATCTTCTTCTCAATATATGAGAGAGTTGCTATTATATAAAAGAATTCAATTTTTTGCTATCAGTGGAAATTGAACTCTAGATGTGCCACTTGGGAGGTGACAACCCAACCACTTCACTAAGTCACCACACCCTTAAAAATATATATACAGTATTAATGATAACAACTTACAATAATCTATAAGAACAATTCCTTCTAAAAATTAATTATTATACAATTTCTTCTAAATTTTTTAAAGGATGAATTCTCAAATTTTGAAATTGTCATTGCTTCTTAATGATTTGATTAATTTTCTGGCAATTTTTTTTTGAAATTCATTAGCCAGTAACTTTTCTTGATAAATATAATTAGCTTCATATGATTTTTATAAGCATTGAATTCAGATTCCAATTTTATGTCTAATTTTAAGAGATAATATAAATTATTTGTTTAATAAAAAAGTTTTTTGAATAAAGCATATTTATCTAAATGTAATTTGCTAAAAACTTGATCCATAAACATATAAATATACATTGATTCAATCATCTGTACAAAAAAAAAAGTCAATAATTAAATATTTAATATGTTAAATGGCAAAATTCAAAATTTTGCAACTTGACCTACAGTTTGATATGTTTGTGGACATGCATGTCTATTATAACATAAAATAATTTTGAATAGAGTGTTGAATAGTGTCTGAAATGTGTTATTTAACATGTAAATTGTCTTGTAAAATTTAAAATTTTTTATTTTTTATTTTGAGCGACATAATAAATTTTTTTTAAAAAGCAATGTTATGATTCAACAGAAATTTTACTATATATTGTACATCATTGTTTGAAGTTTTTTGCTTACTTGATCTAGGCACAAATTTTTGGTTTGTTATGGTCATTTAATAGCATATCGTAATTGCTTGATATAATATTGAAAAGAATATAAAGAATAGAAAAGTTTTTAGACACAATTTTAAGAAAACCACCTTACTAGTAGTCTTTTATTGACTATTGCACTAGAGTATAATTGATTAATATCATAGTAAAATGATTGTGGAATCGTGTTATAATAAAACAAAAGATATTGAAAATCAATTGTTGACTTATATTCTAATATAAACAGCAATAAAAACATTTTCATTAAGTTACTGAATAGTTTGACTACACTAATTTTAGCTTAACTCAGGTGTAGCATATTGTTTTTTCATTCAGAAATGTAAAAAATTTTGGGTTTTTCATTCTGAAATATAAAAAATTTTAGGTTTATTTTTAATAAAGGTCTTTAACTTAATTTGGGTGTAATATATTGTTTTTTTCATTCAGAAATATAAAAAATTTCAGGTTTTTCATTCTGAAATATAAAAAATTTTGGGTTTATTCTTAATAAAGATTTTTTACTTCAATGCTATTATAAGTATAAATTGTCACATTGAGTTTGTAATTTCAGCAAACAAGATGTTATAGGCTTCTTAATATATAAAGGATAAAGTATAGTTTATTGTTAAAGAAATTACAATTAGAAATGGAATCAGCTCAATCAGTTAAAAATTTAGTTAAATTTTTGAAGAGCTAAGAATTATATATATGTATTATTAGTAGTACAAATCTAACAAATAATTTTGAATGAAAAGATCTGGTATAACAAACATAAATACTAGTATAATATCTGTATTTTAACTATAGACTTTCAAACATTATCTAAGATTTTTTATCCAATTGTAATTTTAATTCTATTATTAGATTTTAGACTAACTGCAATATTTATATAAGTATATAATGTACAAGTGTTCTGAACTGAGCTGTAATAGATACTTTAGTTGTTGTTCTTCTTATTATAACTATATAAAAACTTACAATAATATAATTGAAAACCTTCTTCAAGAAGCTACTATAAAAAGGAGAAGTAATATACTAAGAAATGTGCAGCAAGCTAATCAATGGGATGATGATTAACTAGAAGATGAAATTGGTGGTTTTGTATTAGGTTTTAGAGGAGAAATAAAAAATATTGAACCAGGATTTGAAGACCATATAGATTATAAAATAGACAAAATAACAAATGGTTTATAGTCTGATTATAGCAAAGAAAGAAATAATAGAATTAATGAAATAGATAATAAAATGGACGATAAAGCAGATGATAGAAGTAATAAAATAAATAATGAAATGGATGATGAAGCAGAATTTAAAGATGATGAAGCAGAATTTGATAAAATAGATAAAATAGAAGAGGTATATATTGTATGTAATATCTATGATCATCTATTAGAGTTGCGGATGAAGCTAAATTTGAAAGTTTGAGCTTACTATAGTTTCAGCCTATTAAGTTTCACCATATTCAACAAATTTTCACTAATTTCATTACAACTTCAGCCAATTTCGCCTACAACTCTAATATATATATATATATATATATATATATTGTTATATATATTAAAATATTTTTAAGGGCTCAATATTGATATAATACAAACAATTATATTTTTGCACATACGTACATACGTATGTATATAGATGAATATTGTAGAATGTCAATTGTTTGAGGTTGAACCTTTATTAGTTTTCGAGTCTCTTGATATTAGATTAATAAACACTAAGAATATATTAAATTTTCTGAGTGAAGAATTTGGTGACTTTATGAAATTAGTTATCAAATAGAACTTGTCTAATATATGCAGTGGTAAAATATTTATTTTTTAAACAAAGTATTATGTGACAATATAATCTTACCTATCTCAATTCAACAAGGAAAGCAGTTTTTAAATAAAATTATTGTACCATATATTTCTTTTAAGAAAGTACCAATAATAGAATATGAAGAAGACATATACTATTTAAATTACTGTCCAATTTTTGATTGTATTAAGAAATTATTAAATAATAAAGACATACTTAATCATTGTGTTTTTGAATTTTTACTGTTATACTATAATGAACAATAAATATATAATGAACAATTTAACAGAGAATAGTAGAAAGAAGTACAAAAAACAATTCCCAACCAAGCAAATATTCTATCAATAATATTATATTCTGATGTAACCACATGTGATCAGCTCAGAAAGACAAATGAACTCCCTGTTTATTTGACATTAAGTAATATTCTTAGTTAAAAAAGAAATAAACCAAATGCTAAGAATCTCTTTGCTTATCTTCCAATCATAAAACCAAAATCAGCTATACAAAAAAATTTTAGTAATTTTTTATTTGCAAAATAGTTTGCATACCAATATTCTTTGAATAAAATTTTAAAACCAATACTTGATTATAAGAACAATGGGTTTGATCTTTGAATAAATAATGAAGATTTATGGTGCTACCCATTTGTTTTAGCCTTTTTAGATGATATTTCAGAACATTTATTGTTAACATTAATATATAATTCTGTCAATTGTAAATATCCATATTATAGATGCTTAGTATTAGTTAATAAAATGAATGATATTAAGCTAAATGATAACCAGATTATTTTAAGAACTCCTGAACAAATGAAAACTATTATAAATCAAGGTCTTACAAAACGAAAATATCTGTAGGTATATATTAATGTAATTTAAATTTTATAACAAATATAGTCACACCTCGATATAGTTATCTGTTTGGGATACAGAAATTAAGTGACTATAACAGGGGGAGACTATAAAAAATAAACTTTATATAGTCACATTAATATTAAAAAACAAAATAATGTAACTATATTGCAAGGTCTGTAATAAACTGCAATGCAAGTGACGATATGTGACCACGAGATCATAGTACAATCAGGTATAATGATTTTCCTAACATAGAGTTACTAGTAATATATTAGACTTATCAGTTATATTTTGTCTATTGGAGTTATTCGGGTTATTAAATTTAGTAGAAAGGTTAGAAAAGAAATATTTATTAGTAAATAGGGTAAATTAGAACTATAGAACAAATTAGAGAAACAAAATAAAATAGTTTTATTAAATAGATTCATGCATATATACAAAACAATATATATTTAAGCTCTCTGCCTATAATAAAGATTAAATTTTGTGCATTACAAATAAATGGTTCTAAAAACATCACATTTTATTCTATACAAAGTGTGTTAAAACTATTCTAAAATGCTATAGTAAAGTAAACTTTTACATTTCCCGACTTGTTACAGTGCATTGTAGGGATAGACTTCTGTTAAACCTTGTCTTGTGCACGTGATTTCGAACCTAATACCTGAGTCCTATTATAGATTGCAATTTTTAATCCAAGATCAGGCTGCATAGCATTTCCAGTCCCAATATTAGTTATGTTTTTCAAATGCTAAAAACCATAGAAAAAAGTGATATAATTCAGATGTTACTGTATAAGTATTCTTTTAAATGTAAAAAATTTTTGCATTTGCATTGCAAATAATATAGTAGTCAATTAGAATAAAGTTTGTGCTCACAAAATATTTGAATCGGTTATCTTTTTTTATATAATTATTAATATTTATAAATATGTATTATGCAAGATAATTCAATATAGCTTTTTTTATATTACAATATATTGTTTAACAATTAAGGCTTTAATAAATTTAACTATTTAATTTTTATTTGGTCATATGATGTTTTATTAATTTGAAATACTTCATATTCCTCTATTGAAAAATCTGATTTTTGCCAGCTAAAATAAGCAAAATTTTCATTTATATATGTAGATTTATTTCTAATTGGCTTTTTATATACCGAACTTTCATAATACCAACATATTTTATCTTGATTAAAGTTATCTTTTATAGTAAGAATTGACCAATTATAACTAAAAATTAGACCATAATCAGGATCACAACAAATTGCACAGTCCGAGGTAGTCATATGGCTTAAAACGGAATTTTAAATAGTATTATTCTTCTATGAAAAAACAAAGCTATCATTACAATTCCTAATGAAAGCAGGTCTATCTACTGGTTTATCCCATCTAACAAGATTATATCTACCAAGAATTTCATCAGTACCTTTAACTTTTATAACTACAACAAGATGTGGTTTCATATCATATAAGTTCCAAAATATGACAGCAGTAAAACCATCTTTGGTTCTATAAAGAAGTAAATTAAATTTGTATGGATTATTTGCTGCAGAGTACGTTTCAGCTTTTTTATCAATTCATAAAGCAATTTCAGCTACATATGCATCATTAATAACTGCTGAAAATATTTTAATAATTCTAATAGGTAATGTTGATGTTAAAATTAAATAAAAAGGAAGAACAGTTGATAATACTGGTTGATTTGTCATAAACTTTCTTGTTATGTCTTTTCAAAGGCTTTTTTCAAAAATTAGTTGATATAGTTGCATATTATTAAAAATATCATCACCAGATATTTGAAAATAACGGATATAGAGCAAACAATTTTGTAAAGTAGTCTTCAAAGCTAGAAAATTTTCATGAAACCAATCATCAGGATTGGTTAGTAGGCTAGGATTTTTAGCAATTCTCATTCGATAACATGATCCCAAATTTTTATTTCTTTCATTAGTAAATTCTCCTAACTAATAAGTGACACTAATATATTTTCTTGAAGTATAATAAAGTCTTCTGAATTAAAAATCTTGTCAGAGTACTTTACTAGAAAATCATTGCACCATTTCTGTAATTCTTGAAGCTTAACATTTTGAAAACTTTTTTGATAAATGCGAGTAAAATGTAAATGAAGCCAATGAGCTTCTGTGTCAATTAAATGTGTTTCAAGATATTTTGCTAACTCATAAAAAAGAAATTTGTAAGCAATAAGCATAAGTTCAAAAATAAATGATGCATTGTACTTTTCAAGTTCAACTATCTCTCCATAATATTTGCATTCTGGTTTAAACACAATGTACAGTAGTAAAACTGAGTATAAAACTTTTATGCTGCAATTAATTATATACAGGAGCATTGTAGGCTATATATAGCACAATCTATATAATTATATATATTAATTTGTGACTTTATCAAGGTAAATTTAATATGTTTTTATTACCGTAGTGCACTGACCAAAGTACCCCTCTTTTTCAGTACCCCCGTGCAAAGTACCCTGGTGCAAAACATGAGATCTCTATTAATTAAAAATGAGTTTTTTTAAATTTTAAGCTGCTTATTGTAAATGTGGAATATGTGTATGCTTGAAAGTTTTTTTTCTTGCAACACAGACCCGCTATAGCATAATGTACTCAGGTCCTTTATAAGTTTTTTGATGGGTAGATTGTATTGTACCCCGGGTACTTTGGTCAGTGCACTACGATACTTTGGTTTTAAAAAAAATGTGATTGTGACTATAAAGTGTTTGTAATTATATAGAGAGTAAACCAATATAAATTTAATTGGTAAATAAAAAAATGTAATTATATCGAGTTTGTAACTATATCGAAAATGACTATATTGAGGTGCGACAGTATATATAATAATATATTATATACTTATTTAATAAATATTAGCCAATTAAATATTTACCTGGCTACGAATTAAAATTAAGCATATGACTAGCCTATAGGTTTCTTACTATTGGCCAATTAAAATTTTTAAAAAATTTTTTAAATTTTATAATAAAAATAAAAAATAAAATTTTACTAACCTTAAATTTGATTAGCTGCTATATATAAAGTTATCATAGTAACAGATTTCTATAAAAAATTTAACAAATATATAAACATAACCTTTTCAAAAAAAAAGATCCAAACAGCAACTCTCCCCAACGATCACTCGAACACAAACAACCAGAGAAGAATAACTGCGAAAACTGAATAAACCACCTAGGAAATACATCAAGAGGCTTTAAGAAAACAAGAAGAGCAACAAAAATAACCAATAGTTGTCTTAAGTCTTGATAAAGCTGTGCTTACAGAAAACAAGTTAACGAAGAAAAACAAATTTTTTTAGAAAAGTTCTCTTCGAAAAGTGGGCATTGCCAGTAACTTGGAATCACAGATCATTAGAGTAACACAAACACGTAAATCTAAACAAAACAAAGACACGTCCGAAATTAACCAGCAAACACGTGTTAAAATACGCAAACAACAAATAACATATGAACTAAAAGAGCAGATAAGATAAGATAGATTAGATAGATAGTACATTCTAGAATCATAAATCAATCAGACGAATTAACAGAATTAGAATTAATAACAGAGATGGAGATCATACATAATATATACAATATGGGGCTACTCAGATATCTAATGAAAGCTGCAGAATCACATCTTAAATACCTCAACTATTTATCTCTACTAGATTGCTTACAAAAGACAAAAGAAAGAGAACCTGATGAAATAGATCGCATAGTTGCATTTTGCATTACGAAGAATTTAGACGAGAATATACTAGAGATGCTGTCTATATTTA